ACTGTGTCTGTCACGAGACTCTGTTCCCCTTTCGGGCTTGAACTGATGGTAAAACTAATGACATTATTTACTGTCTTTACATTTATTTTGAAAGATGAAGCTCGCGATTATGGTAAGGGGCGTTACATCGAGATAACAGATGAGCTTACACTTTCTGCTTGTAAGTCTCTAGAATGATCATCATGATGGTGTCTCTCTTTGGTTGGGGAAGTCGTGGCCTAATGGTTAGAGAGTCGGACTTGTAACCCAAAGGTTGCGGGTTCGAGTCTCGTACCGTGTGTGTGTTCACTGCTGTGTGTGTGCACTTTGGATGGGATAAATGCAGAGCACTAATTCCTAGTATGGGTCCACATGTCACTTTCACTTCACTTCACTTCAGAAAAATAATGTGTTTTTTGAACATTAAAGCATGTGACCCCTTTAATACACGAGTTTCACAATTCGAGTTGAATTACTGAAATAAATGAACTTTTCCATGACATTCTAATTTATTGAGATGCACCTGTATATAAATACAGATAAATACATTTAGACCACTTAACTTAATGATTGCTATCGGGATGTGAAGAGACTTCCAACCAACATAACAAAATATGTTTCTGAAGACAATCACCTATTGCACCTTTAACTGTGGACATCAGCATATTTGAGGTCATATTCTCATGCTGCCTGATGACAGCTGCTTTCATTATGCATGCAGTCCACTGCACAGTACATTTCTCAAGAGCAAAGAGGGTAGAATATGTTCCTCAGAATGTGTTTCAAACCTCTATGGCTTTCTTTCATTCGTGAAACAAAAGAAGAGATGTTAGGCAGCAGAACATTACAGTCTGACAGTGTTAATCAATCACTTTTCACATCATCTTACTCCATACAATTAAAGTGAAGAGAAGCTGTCATTTTGCCAAACATCTCCTCTTCTGCTCCACAGAAATAGTGACACGGGGTTGACGCAACATGAGGGTGAATACATCATGACATACTTTTCATTACTGGCTGAAATACCGCTTTATAAGTAATACCTTTTTAAAAGCATCATTTAAATACACAGGTGTGATCGTACACATGAACGACAGGTGAATTTACGCGTCTAATCGTGAATTGTAATGGAAAAGTAAAAACACGAACAGGAAAAGGGAAAAAATACAGATCTCAACAGCCACGTAACCAATACATTCACAAAATAGTTTAACTTTTTTTTTTTTTTTACAAAAAATGGCCAATTCTCATCTCTTCTAAATTCATGAGTTTCGGTCTGATAAGCATCAGGTGTGAGTTTTTTTTTGTGTGAAAATCTGTCCGTGAACGTAAAGGCAGGTCAGCGCTCGCGCACCGCTACAGCCACCGAAACAAGCTCGAGAGCAGCCAACACGCGCTCCTTTAGCTACGCTTCAACTGAATGTGTCCTCAAAATGAGTGGAATTAAAACTTTGTACAAATATCTCTGAGGCTCCGAAAATGACTTACCGTTGACATATCACATCGTATGATGGTCCATGATTCGCACCGTTTAACGTCTGCGCTTCCTGATCACTGGCAGGAGAGAATGATGCCACAATGACTACTTCCGGTTAAAAAAAAACACCTTCAAAATACTGGTTTGACACAAATCCTCTTAAGACAACTAATTGTCTAGTCAAAATTAAACCTTTTTTTTCTCTCGATATTATTAATCACAGATAACTTTACAGCTTAACAAATTTATATATTATTAAAATTATTAATGTATATGTAAATTGACAAACCTAATTCTGTAAGTAGTAAGTACTTAAAGGGATAGTTCACCCCAAAATTAAAAAAACTGTCGGAATTTACTCACTTTTTCTTCAGTGGAACATAAAAGATATTTTAATCAATGTCTTAATAGCCATCAAAACTGTTTTGTTACCAACATTCTTTAAAATATCTTTTCTTGTGTTCCGCAGAAGAAAGTCAGTCATACAGATTTGGAACGACATGAGGGTGAGTAAATGATGACAGAAATTTCATTTTTGGGAGAAGGGTTTCTTTAAGAAAATTCTAACACTTTAGCTGTCAATGCAGCTGTGCCAAAATGAACAGGTGCTGCTCTTTTAGTGAATAAGTGGTGCATGTATTTTGCAACTAGATCATCTGAAGATGTTGCTTACTGTCTGTCCTTCACACACAGATGCTGATGTGTTGGACACTAAATGACAAACTCAGAGCTGCCACTCGCACCTGATCAGACTGTGTTAAATGGGCTGAATCCGTTAGGTTTGACAGGCCAGCTTTAAGATCACGGCATAATCCCTTTTGTGTTCCGCAGAAAGAAAGAAAGTCAAACAGAAATGGAACAACACGAGGGTAATTGAAATGAAGCTGAAACAAACTATTGATAATAATAAAAATATTAATCAAAAATAATAATAATTTATATAGAATAGAACTCAATGGTCAGCAAAACAAAAGTATAAAAATATCAGGGTATCTGCAGGATTTTTAAGCTCAAGTTTATGACTTCTCCCCCCGGTTTCACATACAAGACAAAAATGCATGTCTATTCTGTTTTAACTGAAAGAAACTTGCACTGACTGATCTTATAATATGTCAGTGCCATTGTTTTGTCTCAAGATGCACACGAGTAACGTTGTTTTCTAAGGTATGTTTATAAAAGATTTCTAATACCTTTTAAGATTTTTATGGCCTTAAGTTGGATACAATTAAATTTAAGACTTTTTAAGGCGTGAAACCCTGAATATAAGCCCATTCAAAATGTTAATAAATACTATAATATTATATAAATAATACTCGAATAACGGTGGATATCAGTTGCAACTTGACATAAGGATAGAGTGTACTGTAAGGATATCTTCCTGGCTTGAAAAAATAAATTTAAATAAAAAAGACAAACTAGATTTTCTGCTTTCTCATTTTTAATATTTTTATATAGCCATTTTAATATGTATATGTAAACAAACATTTCGATCAATTTCCCCACCTGCTACCTGACAGACATTCTCTCACACAGTCCACTTACATTCACTTCCCATAATAAATTATCTTTCCCTCTAAAGAAAGAGCAAAGCAAATGCACACAGAGAAAGTGGTATGTGGTTGACTAGCACAAAATACATCTTCCATGTTAATATCTGATTTTAGGTTCTTTATGATGTTCATATCAAGCTTCTCGAATCATGTGAATGTAAGCAAGGCCTCGATATATCAAATATTTTTTGGCTTTAATTGAAATTAACTATGTACTTATTAAAATAAACTATGATAATACTTAAATATCACACTAGATTTTTGCCTGTCACTGTGACAAAAATGAATATGATAAATCCAACTGGATCCCATGAATTAAATTCTTTTTAATGATGAAATTAATATTATTTTTTAAATGCAGCTACATTTACTTGTCTTTTCATAGAAGACTTTCATTAAGCTTTTTGTTTAGAATTTGTCTGAAGATTACAGTGAGGACATATTCATACCCTAAAGGCACAATCTAAAAATGCAACATTCTCCACAACGGAGAGATGAAAACATTATTTAATAACTATCCTGCAGTCAACTTTGTGCATTGCTTTTCCCCTCACATGACACCAAAGCGGTTAATCATTTTGAGAAAATAAAATACATAAACACAACCCATTCCTGCATATAATAATTCTTATACATTCCAAATTTTCTGTTCTGTAACTCCATACAGTTCACATCATAAGACTTTTAATTAACATCCCCACTTATTTCTTAATATATATATACTTCCATATTTATTTCCAAACCCTCAGGTTTAAAATCAAAGAGCAGCAGTGGTCGTGGTGGCAGCGTCTGAAATACAAATAGCTGTGGCTCATCACCAGACCCCTGCACACTTGTGTCCACATCCATAAAATATACTATACTATACTTGCCCCAAAAGACAAACTTAGTTCCTGCTCCCAAATTTGCACCTAAACACACCAAAATAACAGTGAGGACACAAAAGGGGATGTGGGAACACTATCAAAAGCTAAAATAAAATGCTGGGGAGCATATAATAATAAACCACTCGCTCTTTTCACCCCCAAATATACCAAAAAACACTCACTCTGAACAAAATAAATATAAAACATTTCAGAAGTGCTGCTGATTTTTTGTGATGTAAATATACTGTCCATTGAGACTGAAATGGCCCTTGATCATTTGCTGAGGGAAGTAATATTTGCTTGATGACGCTGAATAAGCTGTATCATCCAGACACAGTTAGACTACATATATTATTTTGAACTTTGCCCAAAGAAGAATGATCTCTGTGTAATTAAAGAATAACAATAACACCCGCCCAGGCTCCTTGTGTCAGCTGAAGTTTTGTCCTGAAAACAAGGACTGTTCACATCCTGTGTACAAACGCACATACAGACGCTCACATACACACACAGACACATACGTACGCCAAGTCTTTCTGAAAACAACAAAAACTCTTGAAACTGTGGATGAAGCTCACAAACACACTTATGTCGTCATAAAGGAACCTCCAGCAGCTTTTTGTGTAGGTACTGCTTCACTTCCTCTATCCCGTTCAACTTCTCCAACTCCAAATAGGGCAACTGCAAGTAAATTACAAGGAAATTTAGTTTTATAGATATTATATAAATATTGTGATTTGTTTTTTTTTTGTGATTTTTGATCATTTTGCCATAATCTAATGCTACCTTAATGATATAGTAAAGATTTAACTCTATTTAGCAAGTTTATTTGATCAAAAATACAGTAAAAATGTACTGTTGTGAAATATTATTACAATTTAAAATAACGGTGTTCTATTTTAATACATTTTAAACAGTAATGTATTCCTGTGATGGTAAAGCTGAATTTTCAGCAATCATTACTCCAGTCTTCAGTGTCACATGATCCTTCAGAAATCATTCTGAATCAATCTATTTATTCATTCATATACTATTCCATTTCTTGTTACATCAAAGTTGAAAACAGTTGTGCTGATTAATATTTATAGTATAAAATATAAAATATTATAAAAATAAAAATATTATAGTTTTAATATGTATTTTAATATGTACATATAAATTGACTTTAAAAATAAAACAGAATACTAAAATCAGTAGTTAAAGAAAATAGTTGCAATTAGATTAGGTTTGATTACAGATTTGTAATATTGCCTGTAACATAAAAATTATTAAATGTAACATAAAACATTATATATTCTGCTATTAAAAATAAGTCAGATACCAAATATTGGTGGGTATCTACTATTTAAAATACACTAGACAGCATATATGATATCTTAAGCCTGCAAGAAATTAAAAAGTGAAAAAATCAAATATATTGTTCAGTGTTCACCTGTAGTATGATGTAGCCCAATAACTGCAGGTGACGGTCTCTCATTGCCCTGGATCCGACCAGCACGTCAGAATTATGGCAGTAATGCCATTTATCATTTACAGACATAATAACCCTGCATGTGAGGAAGGGCAGAAAGAATGGGTTAATTAAAGATAATGAGCCAGACATTCAAGCCCAGATGGCATATATATTTGATTGAATGATTAAGGAAGGACTGACCTCTTCACCTGCTCTCCTGTGGTCCGGTCAGCTTCAGGGTTGTCTGGGTTGTGAAGCTGCAGTGGAGAAGCGGCTACAACATCACTCTCGCCACCCTCTGGGTACGAAACACCTTCGTAAAATGTAGTGATCTCACAGTCTGGCCCCGGGTTCGCTCCTGTCGCAGCACCTCCCTCATCCTCCAGGATTTTTCCAATGGAGAACTGGAACAGGGAGTCTTGCGGGGCAACCGCTGTCTGAGTCAGGCAGTCTGAGGGGCTACTGAGGGTGGAGCTGTCCTGGCTCTCCAGAGAGTGTTCCTTGGCTAGAGTCGAGTAATAATCTGAAGTGCTGTAATATGGGTTGTAGTCCAGCAGGACCGTTCCATTAGGGCCGACCCTCTGAGATCCTCCTCCTGCTGCTGGGGGACGCATGTGAGCGGAGAGGAAGGCAGACTCCTCTCCTGCTCGTTTGTCGGCCCCTTCCTCAAGTGACTGGGCAAAGGGAGAGAACTTCTGGAAGTCAGTAGTGAGGGCCGCGACAGAGCCAGGCCCCTCTGGAGATTTGAGGTTCCGGACTACACACGTGGTTGAACCTGCTGCTAATGATGCTGCTGGTGTGCCTGTTCTGATGGGGAGGACGCGGCCCATGCTGTCGATCCACAGCAGGAAATCTGCCACAAGAGAAAACGGGACATCAATGTGTTTTGTTTCATGCAGATGTGTTTTATGAAGTATAGTTTCACAAAGCTAAAGTCAGACTATTCTGTTTTTGCTTCAAATTTCGAAATTACACAATTTAATTTATATTAAAAACTGCTCATGCTGCATGCTTGGATCATGATTGAAATGCAGTGGTTGCCTCTAATTTTAAATGAACGAGCACAGGCAAAGCCTTATTTATATGAAGAGATTTCTTTTATTTGTATGATTTATTTATTTGTTTTGGGGTTTGTTTTAAAATTTCAGTTCAGTTAATGTTATTCTACATATTTTAATTTCACAAAGAAATGTGCAGCATTTTGTCTATCACTTAATAATAGGACACCTTTTCATTTATAATTTGTCTTAAATATCATTTTAGTAAAAAAAAAAAGAGAAAATTGTATTGTGAAATCAGTATCATGAATCGTATCTCATTGTGAGTTTAGTGAATCCTCCCTAACTGTAAGAGAAAACTACACATGAATTTCTTAATAACAACAAAATTAACATTAATAATAATACTAAAATGTTCAAAAAAATCAATAGAATAGCCATGGACAATATTTGGCATTTTTGAATGATCATCATCAGCCAGTACATTTTTCTGTTTGGTTGTTAAGTGTCGGAAGTGGGATTTTGATCTATTTTTGGGACTTTACTTTTTTATTTTTGGGGCTTTAGTTTACTTTGGAACTTTATGATTTAAGTAAACTTTTACGTAAAATAAATATAAACTTCACTGCAGACATTATGTACGTGTTATTTAACCATCTTTATAATAAATAGAGCGATATCATATATACCTATATCAGCTTTATATTGGTCAACGGCTACCCTGCTCTCCGGCCATCCAAATATCTATATCAGGTGACCTCTACACAAAAGACTGGATTACAACAACAACAAAAAAGACCTGTGTAATATCCTGGTGCGAGAACTTCATCTTGTTTGTAGCCGTGTTCACCAACAAGCTGCCGGAGTGCCTCCGCAACCAGACCTTTATAACTGCAACACAAACACACTGAGCTCACTGTTACCTGGACAAACTGATGCAACATCTCTTCTGGATTTCAGGATACTGGCAGATTTCTAAAGTCACTTACCTGTATTTGCGGTTCACCTCATCTGCAGTTAAAGCGTGGTCAAACATGAGCACTTTGTGGGTATCCTGAAGGCGGGGTCCAGTGTAGTCCCTGTATTCCAGCTCTACGGCTGCATCCAGTAGTGAAAGGTATCGACGTACAATCAGGGCATACGGGCTGTCTACAAACAAGGGACAGTAAACACTTTAACATTGTTACAAAAAATTCTAACAAATGTTGTTATTTTGAGCTTTCTATTCACCAAAGAATCACGATTTCCACACAAACATTTAGCAGCACAACTGTTTTCAACACTGACAATAATAAAAAATTGTTTCTTGAGCACCAAATCAGTGTATTAGAGTGATTCCTGAAGGATCATGTGACACTGCAGATTGGAAAAACAGAAAAAAGTTATTTTGAATTGCACTAATATTTCGCAATTTTGCTGTTTTTTACTGAATTTATGATCAAATAAATGCAGCCTTGGTGAGCATAAAAAACTTCTTTACAAAAAATAAATAACTTACCAAGCCCAAACTTAAACTTTTGTATAAAAAAAGCCTATTGTAAGAACCACTTGACTTCTAAAGACTTCTCAAATTATTTTCATGAAAATTAACCACAATTCTTTTTTCTGTAAGGTGAAATTTCTTTTTTTTAATTTAGCTGATCATTTGTAAAGCACACATCATGACAGTTTTTTAATTATATGAAATATGACCTAGGCTTTCTGGAATTCAGTTTTGTGGGTCTTTTATCAGCAGACTGTAAAATATTGCTACAGTAAACAAAGTATACTTTTAGAGAATTGCACTGAAAATTATGTAAAGAAAAAATAAATCCACCAGCAGAGGTCACTATTGCTATCTGTTCCCTATTATGTATTTGCAAGAGTGTGTACTGGTCTAAGGCAGCTTTAGTGTTTACTTGTGTAACCAGGATATTATAAGTTTCATTAAACATTAAAAAACAAACACAAAGCCTTGAACCATCTGAGCAAATAAGAATATTTAAAGGCTGACTATTTTGTCTTTTCAAGAGACAAGCACTAGTCTTCTTGGCACTCCACAAACATGCCAGTTGGCTTTCAAAACAAGCATTCAGTAATGACGAACTCCAACTCACTGGTGACATTACTGATGAACGATGGAGAGAAGACACGGTGAAGAACAAGCCCAGGAAAATGACCCAGCTGGAACAGAGACATGAGGATGTTTACGGTGGCCAGCGGAGAGCTCAGAGCCTTTAGTTCAAGAACCATCTCCAGCTTGGAGAAAAACTGAGCTTCATTAGCCGGCCGATAACTCATACGACTGAACGGGAAAACAAGTTTCTGGATCACCTAGACAGAGAAAATGCGGAAAGGGGAAAAGTTAAATACAACACATTGCTCATTTGGTTTTATCAGCATTATATAATATGGAAAATGAAAATGAGTTTTTATTTTACTCAGGTTCTTTCCTATAGAAACAACTCTTTAGTACTGAAACTGGACACGTTGTCTAACCTTGCTGTCCAAGTATTCACCCTTCTTGACCAAGAAGTCAGCGATAGTGTCTAGTAAGCGCGTTTCTCTGAGACGATGGCGAGCGATGTATTTGGCGATGAGGGCCATGGTGTAAGGCGTAATGCTATCAACCTTTTTAGGCAACTCTTCTAAAAAGATAAAAAGGGTTTAAAGTTAATTCCTCATCCCCCATTCAATTCTTGGCAACAGGAAATTGTGTATCATTTCAAAAACTTTAGTACAAAGAAATAGTTCACAGAAGAAAAAAAAATGGCATTGTATACAAAGTGGTCAAAGTTGGCCCAGTTAGTCCCTGCCGGAAGATGCTGGAACTACTCCGATTACTTCTCTATTGACACATACTCAGCATTTAAAATAATAAATAGCATTTAAATAAATAAATAGAAATATCAGAATTATGAACAATAATTTCTGTTTGTTTATCAGGAGCCTATCATTTATCAATATTACTGCTTTAACTGTATTTTTTATCAAATGCAGCCTTGGTGAGCATAACAGACTACTTTCAAAAACATTTTTTAAAAAAAGGTAGTGGCTTTTGAAAGGTAGTGAACATGTAAAATATAGGGTTCAAACATAAATAGTGTCACAAGTAAATAATTACACAAGTTTCATTATCGGCTAAACTGTTCCTATATTTTTCCTTTTCAGACAGAATTACTGAAGTGTAGTAAAATTGTCTCTAATTTTTGCATGCTAACATTATGAAGTGAGTGAGCGACATGACGTGTAGCCATGGTGTCCCATACTTGGAATTTGTGCTCTGCATTTAACCCATCCAAGTGCACACACAGAGCAGTGAGTAGTGAAACACACACACACCGTGAACACACACTCGGAGCAGTGGGCAGCCAATTTTGCTGCGGCACCCGGGGAGCAGTTGGGGGTTCGGTGCCTTGCTCAAGGGTCTCACCTCAGTCGTGGTATTGAAGGTGGAAGACAGCGCTGGTCATTCACTCCCCCCACCTACAATTCCTGTGAGTACCGAGACTCGGACTAGTAACTCGTTTGTGTTACAAGTCCGACTCTCTAACCATTAGGCCACGACTGCGCCCCTCCATGACTGCCACCCAAATGTGTTGCGAACTCACCTGCAAGGCTGCTCACAAACTTCTCCTGCCTGTTCTGGTAGAAGAGGTGAGAGCTGAAGATAAGCTCGAGGCTCTTGTTGCTAGCCTCCCTGGCACAAGCTGACAGCATCTCATCCAGCAGAGCCATCTCATGGTCCCTGACGCTGCTAACGCTGGTCAGCGTGTGCTTCACCAGCAGCAGGATCTTCCGGTTCACCACCAGCTGCTCAGGGGAAACTCCATCTGCCGCCCGCAGCGCTCTCCATTTAGTGCGGTAGTAGGAGAGCAGGAGGAAGAGCGTCTGGGGATGGCGCTCCCGCTCAATGTTCTTCTCTAGCCCGGCAAGACATGATTCAATCAAGGGATGCTGGCTGGACGGATGAAGCTTCATGCTGCTGCTGAAAACCATGGAGATGTCCTTTTGGTTAAACTGGGACAGCCGAGCCTGGGACTCTTCCTCCAGAACCTGCACGATCTGAGAGTCACTGGGCAGCCCTGAGTGAGATGAAGAACACACAGGATCAATACAACAATACATGTTTTTATATTAAAATATTATGTCAAGAAACTATAGACTGTAACTGGGTCATTGACATGGAATATCAAGCAGTGTCAAGAGTGTCATGCTACACTTCACCTAAAAGTATTTCAACAACAATCTCATTCTTACAATGTTTTCTAAGTTTTTCAACATACATAAGAGCTGCTATGGAAAACATATTTAGTGTTTGCACTCTACACTTTTTTTCCCCTTGAATATTGTGTGCAGGTTTTCTCTTTTCTTAAATTATTATTATAATTACAAAATATTTTTCAAATATTTGTTTTTCAACTTTTTAAATATAAAAAATATTTTCGAACTGAGCTATACTACATCTAAAGCCATTTCAAACGACTTGTTATTTTTATTTATTTATTATAGTTTTTTTTGTTTTCTTGAATTTTTGAATAATTTTCTTAGTATTTGGACATCCTTTTGCTTTAATAACTGCATAAACTCAAGCTGGTACAGAAACCATTTTGTGTTTGCACTGCGCACTTTTTTTTTTTGCAACTTTTTTTTCGCCTAATCAATATTCTATTCTTGGTAATTTATATATAATATATATATATATATATATAGAATGTCTGGGCTTTCTCTTTTTCTTTTCTTTAAATAAATTATTCTTTTAAATAGTATTATTATTAAATCCTTTAAGAATATTTTCTAGCACGTAATTTCAATCAACCTGTTTAATGTAAATAATGAAATATGACCTTTTGATGAAAGGGTAGTCATGTTCAACGTCAATGTCATTTGCTTAATAATCTAAAAATAGTGTAAAACTTAATATTTTAAAATTCCTTACCATGTTATCTAACTACAGTACATTCACTTTAGCTACTGAACTAAACGTGACGGACTCACCAAGAGCAGCTACAGCATAAAGGCAGTTAACAATGCTGAAGTTGTCGAACTTGGAGCAGTCATTGACAATGGCATCACACAGCGTCTGAAAATCCTGATTATCCAGAATCTGACGTATGGCGTTCTCCCCCGAAACTCCGGCAGAGGACGCAGGCAAGGCTCCGTCACCTGCTCCTCCACCGCCACCTGATCCGCTCCCACCCACCTGACCTCCAGCCTGCTGCAGCACCAGGAGCTGACCGATCTTCTGTAGGGCAATGGGGTAATGATTGTGCGAGATCTTCCCTGGATTCTGGGTGACCCAGCGTAGAACTTCATCCACCGTGCGCGAGCGATCGATCAGCCGCTTCATAGTGAAGAAGGTGTCATAGCTCATCTTCTCGTGGATGAAGTTCCATGTCTTCTTCTTGCCGTGGTGCAAATGCGCATGGGGCTGGTAGTGTGGAGGGGGGAGGTGGGTGACTTGAGGGTGTGTGTGGTAGTGCTGGTGGGTCTGGTAATGGGGCCGGTGGGTGTCTAGACGGGCTTGATAAACAGGTGGGTAGCTCTGAGGCTGATGGACATGAGGGTGATGAGGCGGGAGCGGATGATGGTGGTTCTCCAGCATGGGCGGCCCTCCTCCCATCAGGCCGATGCGGCGACCTGGCTTGCCCCCACCACCGCTGTACATACGCGTGGTGTACATACTAGTGAGAGCACCTAGACTCAGTAGGCGAGAAGGCTGGTGGGGCGAGGAGAATCTCCTGCAGCTTAAGAGGCCAAAGCATACAGGCAGCCCCAGCATGGTATATAGGGCGGTCCAAAAGTGAAGTTCAAAAGAACATTCCTACAAACAGAAAGCACATCTTTTACTGAGTACACTTCATAGTACAAATGATTTTATCAGTCTTTCTCCAGCAGCTTTTAGTGCTAAACCACAGAGAGATGCAACATTATGGTTCAGCACTTATAGAAACTCATCTCCACACGAATGAATCAGGCAGGAGGTGCTCCAGAAATAGACAGTAACTTGAGAATTGTCAGGCTGATGTGCCCTTTCCATCAGGGGCTGAGCGGAGGAGAGGATATCCTGTCCTCACATCTGAATCAGACCTCATTTATCAATTAGGACGGTTTTCATACACATTACACAATAATACAATTATACTGATTTTAAGGTTGATCCAGATACAAAACTTTAAAAACAGCTATCCAGACAAGGATGAACACTAAAGTTTGGGGTCAGTAAGATTTTCTTTAAAGAAATTAGCACTTTTATTCAACAAGGATGCATTAAATTCATCAAAACTGACTGTAAAGGCTTTTACATTGTTACAAAGAAATTATATTTCTAATACATGCTACTCTTTTGAACTTTTTATTCATTAAAGAATCCTGTATAATGTAGCATGGTTTCCCAAAAAATATTAAGCAGCACAACTGTCTTCCAACACTGATAATAATAAAAAATTTCGTGAGCACTAAATAAGCACATTAGAATGATTTCTGAAGGATCATGTGAGACTAAAGACTGGAGTAATGGCTACTGAAAATTCAGCTTTGTCATCACAGAAATAGAAACATATAACAGTTATTTTAAATTGTAATAATATTTCACGGTATTACTGTTCTTACTTATTTTTGATCAAATAAATGAAGTCTTGGTGAATATAAGAGACTTCTTTAAAAAAAATAAAATAAAATAAATACTGACCCCAAACTTCGGAACAGTACAATCACATAATCAGGATTAGAGGGACCACATTAAAAAACTTTTTTTGAAAAATGCAAATCAAACAAGCACTAATCCAAATATTGTACGTTGAATATTGCATTATGAGTCCAACTGCTGTAAACAGAGACTGACATTATAAGTGCGTCTGTTGTTAGTGTCAATGGTTGGACTAGTCACTATGGAAACACTGATCCTATGACCACATCATCAGTTAGCCAAGGAAGTGGTCGTCTCTGAGAACAACAACATTCTTGGACTATTTTAATGGCATTTCAACAACATTTGCCCCCTTTAATGAAAATTCTGTCATCATTTATTCACCCTCATGTTGTTTCAAACTCATTTGACCTTGTTACTTGCATGGAACACAAAAGGAGATATTTATAGCTGTATGTCCAAGCTGTTCTTTTCCATACAAAGAACTCAATGGTGTTTATAGCTGTCAAGTAAGATTTTCAGTGAAATAATATCTTTGCAACCATAACTTTACTGGTTCCTCACAAAAAGCTATTATGCGTCGTCTTCAGACTTGGAATATAGTCGTATAAACAACTTTAATTATGCTTTTTTTGTCAAAAAAAGTAGCTTTCCACAAAAAAATTGAGCAGAACTATTTACAACATTGATAACATGCAGAAATATTTCCTGAGCACCAACACAGCATATTAGAATGATTTCTGAAAGATCATGTGACACTGATCCCGGAGTAATGGCTGCTGAAAATTCAGCTTTGCCATCACAGGAATAAATTAGATTTTAAAATATGTTAAAAGTTGAAATACATTTCAGTTATAAGTTGTTCTTTTCCATACAATGAACTCAATGGTGGCCACAGCTGTCAAGCATGATTTTATGAAGCTCACAAAAAGCTTTTGTATATCTTCAGACTTGGAATACAGTCACATGAACTATTTTAATGGTGTTTTTTGTCCTCATTTTCCTCATTTGCTAAACTTTGTGTTCCACAGAAGAAAGTCATTCTGGTTTGGAACGACATGAGGGTGAGTAAATGATGACAGAAATTTAATTTAAGGTGATCTGTTCCTTTAACAGTTCTGGACTTAAAGGTCTAGCATTCTCTTTAGCACTCTTGTTAATAGTTTCATTGTACCTGAAGTGACAGTAAAAAGCTTGAATTGTCTTTAAAAATGTACCACTACAAAACAGACTAGACATAAAATGATTTTCCTCCAACACTGCCATAAGTTCTCGTGTGATAATGTCTTTTAAAGCAGGCTTACATGTTTATCTCAGAGGATGGCGCATGGATGGATGTGCAGGGTCAGGAGGATGAGTTCGCACGCAGGAATTGGTGGCATTGGCAAGATTACTGCTCTCGATTCGACGGCTAACTGTGCTACACAGCTGCGTGGATTCACAAACTGATCTTTAATAAAGGCTTTAACGGGGCTGGCATGTTGTAAAAGCAGGATTTATGGAGCATCTGCTGAGGCCCCGGAAGAGGAGCAGAGCTGAGCGCTGCTAACGAACTGCTAACTTACACCGATGATTTCGCAGTATCTGCGTGTTGAAGCTGCGGCTGTTTTACTCCGCGTCACGAAACGGCGACAGTTTTATTACAACATGGCTAATACAGTGCGTGAATGTGGTGCGATCCGGTAGGACATGGCTTGATCCACATGCACGACTCTTTCCCAGCAGCTAAAGTCAGTGATTATCAGTATAGGTGAAAGTAAAGCTGCCTGATCGGAATTAACTCTTTTTATGATCTCGATACAGACTCATACACGAGACTCATCTCCTGTCGCCGCGGCGGCCTCGTCTGTCAGGGCCTGTAACCTCGGGATGCCCAGCCTTCCGTTACACTCCCCTTGCACTCCGCCAGCGGTCGTCCGCCGCCCCGGTGATCGCCATGTTCCCGGAAGTCAACAGAGGCAGTCCGGAAACACGTGTTTGTCGGACGTTAAGATTTTTTTCTCTGTCATAATTATTTTTTTCTGATTTTATAACAAAATAATGTTAAATTATTGAATTAATTATACAATACAAATTATACAATACTCCATTTTTTCCACATTTTAATTTAGAGAACAATAGCATTGTACTAAATTTTTTTTTTAAAGGTACATAAATTATTCCCTATTCCCCCAAATATCTATCTACCTATCCATCCATCTATCTATCTATCTATCTATCTATCTATCTGTCTGTCTATGATTAGTGACTGGTGTTTTTAATGGCGAAAATAATTTATAAGAACTGCAAGAATCTACGTAAATAGATTTATAAATATTAACTTTTTTGTCAGATATGACATTATTCAGCACTAATATGTTTGCTTCCTTTTTGTATTTCACTACTAAAATTTTGTTCAAATAATCAGTTGCAAAGGTCATGTTTCTTCACATTTATTTCCACACATTCTCTGTCACACTTTTCATATTAATTCAAAATATGACACCTTTCTCCATTCTCTTAGTTTGCCATTCTCAAGTAAATGCAAGACTGCAAAAAAGTAAAGACTGTACTTACATTAATCCAGGGACCTTTGTCAATGTTATTTTAAGGTGTATTATTAGATGGTTTGTTCTGAAACAAATGGTCATCATCATACAACTGATTTTCATACTTACGGTAAATATCGCCTTAATTTCAAAGAGTACAAGTAAATCTAATTTAAACCCCCCAAAATTGATTTGTTTAATTTGAACTGATTTGAACATTAACATAAGCTAAATATTAATCTTAGCTAATTTTATGCCATCCCCTTGAACTATTCTTGTTGTCCATGTTAATGGATTATAAATGGTTAAATGGTAGTATAAATAGTTACGTATAGTTATTTAACCCTGCAACGAATTATAGAAATAAACCTGGTTTAATGGCTAGTTAATAAATAGAGTATGCTTATGTTTTTTAGACACTGTAACCTCTTCCATTTTGTTTTTTACTTTTAATGAACTTGATTAATACACTAGTAAATTTCAGTGGTCCATTTGAATAATTGTTTAAGTGCATATATTCCATGTAACTTCTCTTTCTCTTCTTTAAATAATATGCAAGGCAAAACATATGTTTTGGCTGTTAAGGCTGTTAAATATCTTTTCAAGACTTTTGTGGACCTCCTTGTTGTAAGGCAATTTCAGTAGGTGTGCCAAAAATTGTCTAAAAATCACGATTTGTAGATAGTGTATTTGTGGAAACTTCGAGGACAATTTTACAATATGTTTTTTATTAATAATATTTAGACATGTGTAACTTAACTTTTTATACAACTATTAATTTGTCATTATTTAACACCAAGTACATACTATAAGGATACTGTAAAATTTCCATATTTCTCTCAAAAATATAACTGAGTGAAAATACACATTAATCTTCATCATGAAATTCTAGATGTATTTTAAAAGTATGCATGTGCATGGTTAAAGATCTATCTTTTTTTGTCTAAAATAATTGGCTCTTCATATGGTCAATTCAGCAACCCAACCCCCCCTCTTTGTTACTGGAAAGGCAAATTAGTTTTTTCATGACTTCAGCATGTTACACAACTCATGGGTTATTCTTATATTCAAACAGACATCTAGCCACCTTGTCCATGTGCATCCGTTATTGCAACACACTATCTAACTTTCGCTCAAGTGTTGAGGACGTTTAGTACTCAAAAGCATACAAAAGTTAAGCCTGCAAGAAAGAAAGAAACATAGGTTATGATTAATTTAAAATGATTAATATAAAAAAATCCCCTCGTATAATTTCTCTTACATGATCCTCAACCTTCATTTATCAAATGAATTTGACATGCTTACATCAACCAATTATAAGTCTTGCAGTGAGTAAAGTAGTAGTTGCTGGTAACATAAGCTTAAGCAATGGTCAAAAACATTAGTGCGAAAGAAATTCGAAGTCTAACAATCTAATCTATTGTTGATAAATTGTGGTTTAATGCCACCTGATCTCTCTCTGATTTTTTGTGTTAGCCAATACTAAGTTATATTCCTTCCATCAGCATCCTATACTGGAATGAAAATACAACACATTTTCCCAATTTTACCAGATACACATACCATCTTCTCCCAACATTCTATCCAGAGTCATCCTATTTTCAAAATGCACAACAAAAGAATTTGATCATTTTTACAGATTCCAAATCTTGTTTTCAAGCTATAGAAAATTAAAAACTGAATAAATTGCTATTTAACTATAGTAGACCTTTCACAGTCAATTTTTTGTATTATCTTCTTCTGGATTTTGGGTCATATTGGACTATTAGGAAATGAACAAGTTGATACTGTTGCAAAGGAAGCTGTCAGTTTGGGTACAAATTGTCAAATGTTTCTCTCAGACTTGCTCTGAATTCTTACATAATAAACAAGTGGCAAGAAGAATGGGACACATGTACAGATTACATGAAATTCATCCTAAAATTTCTAACAGACTTTTATTCCCTTTCAAAGCATTCAAGTGTTGTTTAGGACATTTAAGAAATGTGTTCTCAACAATTAGCCAATTCAACTCTGTTTTCTCCTTGTTTTACAAACTGGGACTTATTATCATCAGATAATTTCTCAAGCACACTTTATTCAGTAGCATAGGCCTTTTAACCTGAAAAAATGCTCAACTTACTTTGCTCATGTTAACAGTAACAAGACAATATTTCATATTTTTGACACAGAATCAGTTCGATGAAATCCATTATGACATGCTGAAATGTTATAAAAGAAAGTGAGGTGTGGGGTGGACAGAGCAAGCTTGCTTGCTTTGACTTCCCATGTTATACGCTGCACAAATGTGGCACTGTTTTATTTCTTCCACAACAATAACCTTGGTACTGACCAGGATACTTAATCTAATTTATCCATGGCCAGTATTTTATTGGGCATATTCTGCCCTGTGTGCCCACTTAATACATTTTAGATACAGCTGTTTTGATGGAATGATTTATTTGCCTTAGTGTCTCTTCGAACACTATCTCTCATTTCATACAACAACATCACACACTTTCACTTCCCCCCCTCTGGCCAGAGCATCATCAATTTTTGTCTGCCTCAGCAGATTGTGAACTGAATGGGAAATGGGATATGTATTGTGGAATACCACTAAATCTTAACGGGTAACACAACTTTCGGCAGATGCTACTGAAGACTGTGGCATTCCCTGTGCAACAGTGTCTAAATGTTAGAATATTAATTGAAATAGTCTGATATTGATTACCATGGGTTGGGTTTAACACCACAGACAAAAACCTAACTTTTCAAAATCAAATAGAGTAGCCTAAATGATTTAGAACAATCTGATAGACTTAGGCCTGCAGTTGAGAGAGCCTAATTCAGTTTCTCAAATGCAATTTGTCATTTGTTGTGCAATTAGAATTTTTCAAACTCTTTGTTGTTGCTCGTGAGCTGCTTAGAGGAAGATTGGAGATCTTGTATCCATGGCCAAAAGACTTTCCTATCTCGTACCCCTGGGGATGACAGCATTTGTGTTCTCAAAAGTTTGGAATTTCGAGTTTTTATTTAATCTATAGAATTACCTTTACCTCTATGTGGATTGTCGGTCAGTTGAACGTTTCATCAATCCTGCCAATTTTGCATTTGCGGGAAGTTTAGTCCTTTGGAAAAGTCTCAAGTGAAAGTTTCACCTTTTCCTGCATCGACTCAGTCTGTCTTCATGCTGGCCCCTCAGAAGTGGCTACGTCCACACGAGCTTTCCCTGTCCGCATAAACCTTGCGCTCGGTATACAAACGAACATGGAACAATACATTTATTAATCTGTGTTAATGTTAGTTAATAAAAAGACAATCGTTCAGTGTTTGTTCATGTTTTTGTTGCTGTTACATGACGTAGCGGAGTCTGACTAGGGTCGAGACGTGGGCTGATGACGTCAGCGTTTTCAGATTTATCCACTCTGGGACCCGGTTTCAAAAAATATCGGTTTCACTCTCCCAAAACGCCGGATCCATGTGGACGAAATGCCTATACGATACGAAATGTATGCGTATACAGCTAAACGCGTCTCCGTGTGGACGGGGGGCCTATTCTTTCAGGAGGGAAGCTGAAGGCCCATCAGCTACTTTCTCTTCTCTCTGAAACCGGGTTTCTGCTTCTCTCCCACTCCAGTCTATTCATTCCCATTTATCAAGGCGGCTGTTCCAGAAGTTGCCTGGTCATAGCTAAAATCTGAAAACTCAGAGAACCGCATGAATCAAACCGATCCTTTGTAAATTCTGACCACAGTTGTGTCTGAGCAATCAGCTCTTTATTTAAATGACACTTTTTGGCTTTTTAAATTCTCTTTCGATGGTCTGTTAATTTCGTTTTAGTTTCATTTTCGTGGTTGAGCAGCAGTTCCCCATTCTAATTTTATAAAGCAAGTTCTTCTTTGCAGTGAAAGCAAGCAATTTCTTCTTTGCAAAAAAACTGAAAACAGCAGTCAAGTCCTCTAATTAATATAGAATATGGTGTATAATGTAATAGCAAAGAATTCTTTGTCTTTTTCTCTTTTACTAGAAACTAAAATGACTGTGAGATGTCTGTTATGTGTCTGTTCAAATCAAACTTTCTATTTAACTTGGTCACTTGATCTCATTCAACACAATGCACAAGAGTTACCTTAGTTAACATAAACCAAAATTGTAGAATCTCTGCAATGGATCAACTTTTCATACCATCTCCCAGGGATAACGGGACACAAATTCTAGTCATCTTCAGATACAGAGTATAATATTTAAATGTGTTGTTATTATCTTACTATTTATTCATCACTTTAGAGGACTCGTTCCTC